CTCAATTTCTTTTGTTGGTCTTCCTTGGCCATCAGGATAAGGAATAACCTGAAAATGAAWTACCAAGTAAAAAATGAATGGGTACAATTGTACAAAACAGTCCCTCTGGTGTATTTCTTATGTCAATAATTTAAACTTCTTTTAAAGACACTAGCAGGGGCACATCTAGGATTTGCCTGTTTTTGATATCATCAATAATTCTAGACACAAAAGGCACAATATTGCAGATATAGGAAAAGACAAAAACAAAATCTTAAAATACCGTATTGTAGCAATGAATTGCACATTTTATTAACTGCTATAATTCTCTTTTAGTTTRGTTTATTAATTAGTTTTCAACTATACCTAAACACATCAAATTAATARTTCTTACAGAAGTAGCTGTTATATCAAATCAGTTATAAAACAAACTCTGCTACAGTCAGGCAGTCCAAGTGGCTAATACTATTAACAACATGGTTAAAGTATGGGTGACAAAAGTTTGTTTGTTTGTTTGTTGTTAACTCRCCTGTTGTAGTTCTGAMGTCAAGCAGTATGGTGGTTTGTCTCCAGGAGGTGAGATATCTAACTTGAGTGTACCTATAACAAGTGAATGTTACAAATATAACAAATTTAGTCAAACACATTGTTAAAAATGATATTTTATGGTTATATATTGTAGCGATTGTATGACTGTCCTGTGGTGTCCTCCCTTGCCCTAAAGGTTTTCAAATAATTATTTCCTGACTCAAGAAAAACACAATATAATCAATATACAGTCCAACCTCTAATAATTGGTCACCTTAGAAAAGAACAGTTGAATGCTTTTAAATAGAGGTCATGTTTACAGGAAATGTATATGTGAAGTGATTTTATTAGGGAAATTAATAAATGGCCTCTTAATGGAGGGCTGATTAATAGAGGTTTGAGTACAGAATACAGTAAAAGTGAAAGTATTCTAAGAAGCCACAGTCATTTACATGTAAGGAAAACATTACACAATCACTTTGATATTCACAGCTAWTGATTACCTGGGATAGTTTTCAAGCGCTTAAGAACCGATGATGGTCTCTTAATATCAGCTAGAAACTTGTACAGATCCTCATCTTTGAGCTTGTCAGATTCCTTCAATTATAGTAACAWAAAATATCATTAAAAACATTAATTATTTACAGCAATAGGTTACAGACTGACATGTGATTATCTGTCCTTAACTAGTTAGCTATGCCAAAAGAAACTTAAGACAACTAACTAACACTTTACAAAAGTTCAAAGCTTTCAAKTGGGAAGTTTGCTACAGTGATTTGTACAAAAATCATTAAATTTCACATTCACTTTTAAAGATTAAGTGGACTTCATTAAAGAAAAAGTTAATAGAAATAAAACATGATTAGCCTTTCATTTATTAAATCATTTGAAAAGATTCGATCATACTTTTTTTATAACATGCCACATATAAATTCAAACTTCTGCTTTTCAAGGAGTTTAAGGGCAAACATTATGAAATTGGTAAATACAATTATTTTATAGGGTGGATCATCTCGCTAACACATTGTCAAATTTAAAACATCAAAAAATTAATAATTTTTTGCTATATGATTATCATCAGGCTGTAGATTGAAAACATGCTTTTAAGTCTTTAAATATTGTGTCTTTTGTAGTTCATTATGGCTGTTTGTACCTGTTTGAAAAAGCTGCTAACAGTCAAAGTAACTGGCCTAAACTTTGTGAGGTCAGGCAATTGTTCAAATTCAGTTCCCTCACTCATGTAACTACCATAAAAGGACTTCCTTTGGTCTTGGACTGAGACTGATCTTGGAAAACTGTCTACTTTTCTACTGGGTTTTGCAGCAGCTGATGGTTCATTGCTGACCTGGAAAAATTCATTACAAAATCCTGTCATGTGTGTGTGTAGTGTAGATACAGTCAATAGACCTATAGTTGGCTTTTGCATTGTCATGTATGTTACACACAAATTAAATCCTGTGGGACAAAGAACTTTTCTAAGAATTTAAATGTGAGAACACAAAGCAAAGACTAGTCCTTGAAAGTTGGTTTAAAAAGTTAGAGAATCTTGTAATAAGCACTTAATTGATTAATTAAGTTACCAATGCCATACAATGGCCTTGTAAACAAACATGACAATCAAAATGCCTTAGAGTATTATATGATATGTGATGGAATGAGTCAACAAATGAAATGGATAGAGAAATGTGTTCCTATAGGAACAAGAGGTGTGGGTACCAATTTGCATGTAGATTACTATTATGTAATAAGAGCAGTCAAACAGGGCTTAAAACAATAGAATTGGTAAAAAGGTCTAATGCAATTTCACAAAATCTTCCTATTGCCATGCTGATTGGTTTTGACTCAACTCTAGGTGGCTTGATCACAAGCCAAGATTACTYACTTTACCAAGTACACTTTGTCATAAATACACATACAATATTATACATCTACATCTACATTTTATTTAGTCGGTAAAATCTTTCGATATCACACCAACTCATACAAGATTATAATCTTTACCTTTCGACTACCAGGTGTCCCCCCTGTTGTCACTTCCTTTTCATTAGTGCCYCCCGTTTCAGCAGAAGCAGCACCACTGATGATGTCAATCAGATGAATAGCTGTCCAAGCAAATGGCATTCTGTACTTGCCAAGTCTATCAACACTGTTCATTACTGATGAACGGACTTTCTCTTTTTGCTGGAAAAAATATACACACAAATAAACAATGAATAAACACCTCACGCAAAGCAGCCGATTTGGGTTAATATGAAATTAGATGTAATTTCAAAGAAATCTCACTATAATACAATGTATGTACCAAATATGAACCAAAATAACTCTCATTATAATGAACAGAACTGTAACTTGAACTTTTCTGCATTTTATTTAATAGTTACATGTATATTTTTCCATTGACAAACAACAATGACAGCAAAAACAAAACCTCAAAGTCCATAAATTGTTGTGTTTGGATAAAAGGACCTGATTATTATTAAGTAATTTAATTTATTAATTATAGAAAATCTTTATAAAATGTTAAGAAAATTTCACCTTAGGGCTTTCAGTGTCTTTCATGTATGGCTCGGCTATTTCACTAACATCGCCTTGTTGTAAGATTTTCTCTAGTTTGATGACTAAGAACACATCAGTTGAGGGGTAAGTAATGGAGAAAATTGCAGAACGACTCAGTGTAGAGATGTCTGTCCTTGGTGTTGTGTCTTTTAAAAGTTTACGRCACCATTCAGGGTTCATGTCAAAGTAGAARTTTTCTGAAATCTGAAAATGRCTCTCATTAGTAATTGTCTAGACCYAAATTRCTGAMAAAATATCTTCAATGAGTCACCTTTTTCTTCACACGAAGATCATACAGAGCCATACTTGCAAAGAATGGTTCTACCTCGATTTCAAACCTGAAATTTCAAGAAACGAAATACAAGTTATCAATAGAGTGACTTCACTAGTCAACAATAGTTTCCATTTAAATACGCTTTATTGTTTTTTTATACTTTATTATTCTTTATTTTGGGTTTTTCTTTGTCTTTTTGTCAAAAAAACAAGTTGCACAATGGCCTGTGGTTTTGCAGTGAATGACAGACTACTTCTATTTACTGATGGCTATCTAAAGCCAGTACTGACCAAAGACAATGAAGATCAATGCAGCTTTACTTACTTCAAAGTGAGGCACTTCACAAGTACTCTTTGCCCAAAGTGTTCTTGTGGAATGGTAGCYGGAACTCTCCTTTCAATTCCTTCTTCCTGCAATACCAACAACTTTAATGAATTATGTTTCATTCAACTATTTTATAAATAACTGTATCACTGTACATGAGGCCTGCAGTACAAATCAGTAAAAGACACAGTTAAAGAAATAATGGAAACAATAMATTATTATTGACGATTTCATAATGGCCAACACTAATAAGCATACATGTATTATCGTTAAATTCATAATGCCAACAATTTAAGAAAAAACTCAAATGATATTAAACCTAAAGATAAGCTGTGAAAGTTTCACAGAAAAATATAAAATCCTCTTCAAGCCATAATATGATTAGATGAGGCACAAAAGCACTAAAACAAGGCTACGAAGGCCTCAGCAAAGAATTTCCTTGTCTTTTTATTCTTACAAAAATTCATTAGTATTTCATCCATAGCATCAAAACTTTCCACATAAACCTCTTTTTGATAGTTATTCCATAATGTTTCCATAAAATTGATGGTGGGCACTTATTATGAAAGTGGTCTACATTTATTTACTGTTCTGAAAGGCRTTCTTCACTGTTTGCCTCATAATAAAACCCTCGTTGGTGATTCAACTGGTCATTCTACCTGAGGAAGATCGGTGTAATCGATCGAAACGTTGTGAATCGTTTCAACTTTTTTACAGTAATTGACTTATCACTTTATTTAATTACATTTATTTACTGTACATTGGGAATTGATCTCACCTGCTGAACTGGATAAACACTAAAGCAAGAATCAACACGATGCAACTTGCGCTGAACTTCATTTGTCTCATCAACCTGTTCAGGTGGTACTCTGTCCAGTAGTGTTGGGAGGAGATCATCTGGTTGTGATGATTGTAAATCAAAAATACTGAAAAATATTCAAACAAACTTCACTGTTAGTTATTATTTCCTACGATTTCCTTTCCTATGAGATCATCTGGTTGCGATGATTGTAAATCAAAAATACTGAAAAATATTCAAACAAACTTCACTGTTAGTTATGGTTTCCTAATCTTGTCTGATTAAATAATATTATACAATATTAGAAATTTACCTTGAAGCCCAGCTTCCTTTTGGTAAATCATTCAATGGTTTACTCTCTTGACCTGTGTTATCTTCCTTGTCCTGTTGAGAATAGAGTGCATGTCATTAATGTGTGAAACAATAGCGTAACTATTTTTTGGGCGTATCGGTATTAAGTTGCATAGCTGCTAACTTCGTAGTTATTTTCTTCATATAAGAATTGATTCAGGCGTAAAAACAAAGACACAAAGAAATGTCTATCTTTGATTTCTTTGTGTCTTTGTTTTTACGCCTGAATCAATTCTTATATGAAGAAAATAACTACGAAGTTAGCAGCTATGCAACTTAATACCGATATGCCCAAAAAATAGTTACGCTATTGTTTCACACATTTATGACATGCACTCTAATTTTTATTGTACCTTAGTTCTAACACTTTACAATTGTCATAACTGGCTGGTCAGACCCAAATTGAATCTCACTATAAATTRTTTCTATCCAGAAGAATCATTTTTGACATTAGCCTGCATGGAGTCAAACCAAAACTGTTGTTGTGTTTGCCAAAAAAAACAATGGTGTTTCAGATGTTTCGCTCAAGCAATGTTCTTCCTCAGTGAATGAAGCAAGGTTTAAAAAGAGAATAATTAGCGTGTGCGAGATTAACAAAATTGTACTGTAGAGTCCCTTGTAGATTACAGGAATCTGGATTATGTCATTTCCTGAATTGATGTCCAAGTYTCAGYGCCATGCAGATAACAGTCTCCCTCCTTTTCCACAGTCATATCATAGTCWGGTTGGTAAATGTTGTGCAACTTTGGAAGACATCAGTTTGTGACAAACAGGTCTCCTAATAGATGTTTTTTAACTCTAGTCTGCAGGGACCTGTCCATTTGACTATAATATAAAGATACCCATACTCTCTGTGTACATTGTACATGTATCTCTTATGTAGAACATTTTTGTGTCCATGCATCTGAAGAAATAGTATATCTCAGCAGGCTTACCTGGTCAGCAGACTTATGTTTCTCATCCACTTCATACAAATGTCTTGGTAAAGAGTCTGTAAAGCTTCTGGAATGTGTGATCTTGCGACGCGAGTCAGGTTTACTTTCCTCGCTACACCTAAACTGGTACCTATAAACATTAAAATATTTGGTTATCACAAGGTTCGATATTGTAAAATATATGGTCTGGTATAATGTCATGGTAACTCTTTTACCATATCTTGAAAATTGTATTTATTTTTCAACTTTTGCAGCTAATAAAATCATTCAATGTTAAATTGAATTTTGATTCTGCAAACACACTGCTTGTGAAGTACAGGTATGTATATGAAGTGTAGATTGATTCTTGTGTAGACTGTCCACCATTCAATTGAGAGGTGAAGTACATATACATGTAGGTCAAATACACMTTTACTGACATTTTGGATGTTATTATTATTGTAGTCTCATTTTACAACTGTTTCTTTAAAAACATAGCTCATAATAGTTTCCATCATTTCATTTAAACTATTAGTTTTGTATAATACATTGTTACATGTAATAGTTTACCTTCTGTTGACAATAGACCAGTCTGCTGTATAGGTATGAACACAATCCTTTAAATGAGGGTCACTATCAAACCTAAACCATGAAATAAAATTAAATGTTAAAATTAAAAAATTCTTTTCTACATTGTATATATCTGTAAATAGAATTGACAAATTAGAGTGCAAACACTAAAACCATGAAATGAATGGCTGATTAAATAGTCCTACTAAGTGATTCCATGATTACAAACATTGATTGTTAATACTACAGTCATGCATTTCAACTTTTAGAGTGCAAATGCTAAAGGTGGGATCAAAAATATTACAAATAGCCAAATAGTGCTAAATACACATAGCACAGTTAATTATTGATGATTACATTAGGAAAAAGAAAACATATGAAAAAATAGCATCATTTGGTAGAATTTATTACTATTCAATTAGGGTACAAAGTCATCAAATCCTCTTTGTCCAATAATGTTTTTTACATCACTTTAGTTAACTATTTAATGGTTTTAGCTTCAAATTTTGTACGATATTTAGTCATCCTGAAACTAGGTAAATGTCTTACTGTATGTTACCAAAGCAAGACAATCAGTGCAATGGCAATGACAGATTCCTGTGAATAACTGTCCTATTGAAAATGCAAAAAGAAGGTTTCTACTTTGTATAATCTTGCATGCTCATTGGTAAGCTTTAATGCAAGGGCAGAGTTTCTCAAAATGTCACATTGAACAATGAAGGAGACTACGTAACTGTATTTCTTACAAAGTGTTTCAAGGAAGCAATGATTGCACTCTACAYGAAAGTTAACTTACCCAATATCCTTAGGTATAGAAGGCTGAACTGTTCTACAGTGTCGTGGTATTGTAGTAACTTCAATGTCATCATCCGGAAACTCCAGCATACTACTTTCTGGCTCATTGTCATTTAGTGGTTGACTCTGGAGAATGAAGTCCTCAAAATCCAAAGGATCAACTACTTCTGTTAAGGGAACCTGAAGATAATACAAATATTATTGTGTACTTGTCAAGTTGACTGTATTATGCAAGTTTCCTACTATATTCCAAATATTTGCTAAATACAGCAATATGCAGATATTATGATCTTTTTTTCATATTCAAAGTATATGTACTAGTCATTTCTAACAGAAAATGAGTGCTGTGAGTAGCTATTTCATTTTCAAAACGTATAATCAGATGTTAGGTCACATCAGCATCGCAGTGGTATGTCAGGCAATATACGTTTTTATTTCAAGCTACCTGTTTCATGAATTCCAATCTGCAATTGCGAAACTACAAGTATRAACATATAAAAGAACATTATAACGTTCATGACCTTGATGAATACTTCCATGAATAAATAAACGTGACCTTGACATCTAAAAAGTATTAAAAAATGGCCCTGTGTATGGTGTGTTCTGTTACATCCTTGAATCGACTCTCDACACGGTATGGACTTGAACCGCTGAATGTATATACATGTATCGTGTGTTCTGTTAGGGACATCCCAGAATCGACACTTTGTTCYGAATAGGAGGCTACTCGCTTCGCTCGCAGCAATAAATATATCAGACACTCAGTTTGAAGAAGAAGGCCTAAGTGCCAAAACGTCCAATAAAACAGAAATATTATAACTTCAAGTTGGTGTTTTGTTTCATTTCATTGTACCTAAGTATAAATTATATCAGAAATTATGGTATATCATGGCTGATATTTTATTTGAAGTTGCCAATAGTGCAATTTTTGAAAAAAATATATACTTGAAATATGAGTCAGAAAGATCATAATATCTGCATATTGCTGTATACATAATWTTAAACATATGCATACATCTAATATATTTTTTCATGTGACCAACACATAGAGAATATTACCCAGGCTCTATAAGTCAAATACATGTASTGGTATACATTCAAGCTGTTTAGTAGATATCTGACCTTTGGATTTATGAAGTAGTGGAATACAAAATATGCAAATCAGTTGACAATCGTCTTTCAGATCCACAAAAATATTGTCTAATTTTATAACAATTCCAAAATTTGCATTTTTCATGAATTCACTGATATTAAAATCCCCTCTGACTGTCCCCTTTCAGAAGTTGAATCACCTGTTATTAATTGTATGATGGTAAAAACCTAGGCAATCTGTAGATTTGCACTGTTTGTTAAAGGGCTACTTGGACAAAAATTGCAAAATATTAGAAAAGACTTGGAAATCAAATAGACCTATCCATATGAGTCTAATAATCGTGAAGCAACAGATTTCAAGAAGATATTGATACAAAGCCATAATTATTTGGGCAAAAAATGTTGGAGTAGATGACGTCATCCTTTGACGTCCATCCTTTTGTTCTTCCATCTTTTGAATCAAAATTTCTCTGATGTGGGATAATTCCAAAAAAAAWTTTTCCCGCAATTGTTTTTAATAGATATAAATGAGTCATATATTTGTATTGCTTGAAGTTTTGAAAATGGCCATTTTCATGCAAGTAGCACTTTAATTACAAAAAATGACTAATTTTTTATRGTGGCTTTGAGGTTGTCCAGTAACTCCTAGCTTCTCCCCTCCACAGCCATCAAAATAGAAATGTARCAGATCATTTGGCGTAGAGGTAAGGAAGTTGAACRCTTTTGAGATTTTGATTTATCAACTCCCTTTAGCCCCCAAACATGCTACATGTATTCCATTACTAGTTTTCACTTTCACCAAAGCATCAAAAAATATTAACTAATAATGTTTTTACATGTATTTTGCTTATATTATATAATTTAATAAGCTTATGATAGCCTCAATGGTACAGAAATAAATAATTAAATAAAATGAAATCCAGTGAACAATATTCATGGAACAGGTATTTATTATAAGCCTCACATGAGGTAGAAAAAGKTATAAATTTAGTCCTATTATTGAATTCCTTGCCTGATAATTGTTTATGTCAATGGCCTCAGCTTGATGTGGACATATGCCAAAGTGAAACAAATGCCATTTGAACAACGCCTCCGTTGGAGAAATCAAAATATTTTCATACAAAGATGACATGAAGCAAGGCAATTACAAAGGTTTCGTGATCTGAACAATTTTATTGACAAAAGAGGCAAATTTAAGGATAACCTTCCTCCATACCATACTAAATACCAACACTCAAAGTTCGACTAACATCAGCTTAAATGAGACTGAAAAACTATCGTTCGATCTTTTGGCTGGGTTGCTTATGAATCTTAGGATTATAACTTGACAGAATCCGAGCTGGGGGTTTGATCATAATCAATAACAAAAATTTGGCTTTGAATCAGAATATAAGCCACATTCTTACCGTCCCGCTGGCGAGATGAATAAAAGACGAGGCAGTTGACGAGCGCTTACTTGATTGACTAACGAACACAGTCGAGACATTACGCCGGACTTCAGCTGCCCCCTGATTTCTGAAATAAAGAAATTAAAAAGCCGGCTGATAAGCCAAKAGCTATTGACACAAGATCTTCATATAATTCAGTGCTCACTTGTTCAGTTTTTGTGCAAAGGCTCGAGTAGAAGTTACACTTCCACCTGGGGAAGCCGCCATCTTGTCTTCCTGTTATTGGTACCCAGTTTCTCGCGGATTACCTCAAATATTTATGTCGTGAATTTAGTTGGTTTCTACTGGTGTTCTTTTTTAAGATTTTCATTTTTTTCCACCTCTTTAAATTATTCTTTATCTTTATCTCATAAACATTTTTCTATTTACATCACAAGCACCCCACCCCATATAAATTCTGAATAATACGTTGTAATTTGATTATACTTTATAATGATTCAAAAACTCCTGACAAAAAAAGACCTACAAAAAATTAAAAGAAAAAAAAAGACAACAATAACAATAACAACAACAAAAAACAAAATATATATATATATAAAAAATGCGCAGGCCGTTCTGCCATTGCCGGATTTCAAACCGTGAGGGACTGGGCAAATGACATAAGACTTTCATTTGTTCACAAATGCAAAATTCCAAAATTTGATGTAAATCAGTCCGATAGTGAGAGAGTCACAGTCTTTCAAATATTCTAAAATTTCCAAAGAAATGTATG